GTAAGGGCAGAAGGGGAGATACTATAACTGTTTAGTACACGTTTGGTCAAAGGATTGGCTTCACTTGTCTCTTCGACGAGTTGTAATATGGTGCTACGAATGGCAAAACTCACTAACGATGCCAAATACGATGCCGGCGAAACGTCTGGGAATATACCACGTCCACAATCCTACCCTGGAAATGATGCTGCATACAATTGACTCCGGACAAGGTGCGTTCCTCTTAGTCTTCCTACCAATATGATCGAGTTGCGAAAACAAGGTCAAACAACTTCTATACAACAAAAGGAGACTGCGATCACATAAAAAGCCACACCATCTTGGTCTACATACCTTCGCTTAGAATCTTTTCTTTATGCATATGCATACGAAATGAAAGTCTTCATAACAATGCTACTTATACTTAACGAATAGGACGAATAACTATTAGGAAGCGTATAAAGTCTCTATGAGTGTAGATATTTTAAATTACCCCTTTCCTTAGCCGAAAAATTCAAGTTAGGGACAAATACAACCACTCTTACCGAAATGGTGATCGGATACTCGCAATCTGGCTGTAGAACTTTCGGCAGGGTATCCCCACTCGCCCTCGTCATCGCCACCGTTGATGATTGAGGAATTGTGCCTGGTTTCGTTGTTATGGCGATGTCTATGGGCTCAACTCTGGCCTCTTCCACTGCAAATACAGCTGATGATACTGCAGCAAGGCTAGAAGAATCACCACTTAAAGAGCCACCGATTCTGTAATCGAGTATGCTGCTGTCACTACTAAGGTGGTTGACCCTAGGAATGCTGAGCTGAGAGGAATGAGGGGCCGAATTATCCGTGATAGTTGAGGCAATAAAGCAACTTTCGTTATTGTGGCTATTAGCCCTTTCGTTTGTAGATTTAGATATGGGGGCTAACGAAGCATCAGAGGAAGTACTCGAATGAGAAGTTGACCTGGTTCTGGAAGGCAGATTTTCAGTGGGCCGCTCGAAAGGCCACATTGGGGATACGGCAGGACTGTTAGGCAATGGCAGAGATACAAGAAGCCCTAAAGAAGAATTATTGGACTTGGAAGGATCCGCGTTATCAGCCCTATCAGCAGATAGACATGATCTTGAACAATTCAAAGGATTGGAGGAGCGCTCAATTCGGGTTGAACTGACAGGGTGAGAAGTAGACGATTGTGAAGAAATATTCGGATGTTGAGTCAGATAAAGAGGTTGATTTATGGTCCTAATGAGCTGGCCTATAATAGTAAGAAAGGTCGATCAAATAAAAAGACAATTTGGTAAATGTGGGAAAAAATAAAATAAATCAATAAAGACTAAGACAATGGCATTTATTAAACAATTATAGTGTCAAAACTATCAAATAAAATAATTTTCAACCAAAAAATATATAATGCTAAATCGAATGTTACTGCTATCTTGATAATCTCGAACTTACTAGAAAATCCCCAAGCAATTTTGCTACATGAAACAGTTAACCCAAAAAAAACAAAGAAAATTATTCGAAGACGTAAAGACCAAGATAGTGATCGATGTCTCTTTGAAGAGTTGTAGTGTGGTGTTAAGAGTGGCAAGTCTCACTGACGATAGCGACGACGCTGGCGAAAGCTCCAGCATCTACCAAGTCCACAATCCAGCCCTGGAATTTACCATTGATACTATGGCCTCCGGACAAGGTGCGTTTATCCCTATCTCCTTGGCAATACGACCAAGACGCATAGACAAGGTCAAGCCACTTCTATCCAAAGTAAATAATTCTTTCTATGGAGGTAGACTAGGTCTAATAATATATAATAAAAGGTCTCCCTGTGAAATAATAAGTAAATAATAAACGAATGCATAAGTCGACTTGTAAAGAAAATGCAAACAATCCACTAAAAGTGTAGAGGTTATTTGACCTTGTTTTCGCAACATGGTCATATTGGTAGGAAGACTAATTGGAACGCACCTAGTCCGGGGTCCATTGTCTGCATGATCATTTGCAAAGTTGAACCGTGGAAGTGGTACATTCCCAAACGTTTCGCCGGCATCGTAGTCGACATCGTCAGTAAGTATCGCCATCCTAAGCACCAAACAGCAACTCGTCAAAGAGACAAGTGAAGCTGAGACGAGTTGCTGTTTGGTGCTTAGGATGGCGATACTTACTGACGATGCCGACTACGATGCCAGCGAAACGTTTGGGAATGTACCACGTCCACAGTTCAACTTTGGAAATGATTATGGAGACAATGGACCCCATACTAGATGCGTTCCTCTAAGTCTTCCTACCAATATGACCATGTTGCGAAAACAAGGTCAAACAACCTCTA